GATCCAAGTAAAAGTTATTTTTTCTTCTTCCTGATTTGTAAAAAATCCTTACGTGATAGAAAAAAAATTAATATTCTTTTCAAAATCTGCATAGCTGAATTATGGAAAACCGTTTATTAAAACCAAAACAACTTTTATGAAGTTTAAGTTTGCAGGCCTGTGTAGTTGATCAGTCTCTAAAGCCATCCAAGCAGTGTGTTGTTGCTAGTGGTTGGGCAAATAGGATTTTAGGTTGTATCTACAGAAATATTGAATAGAAGTCTAAAGAGGTTATAATTTGTTGTGTTAAGTCTTAGGCTCCTTACCTTAGGAAAGACATTGTATTGTTGAAAAGGGTTCAGAGAAGGGTTACTAGGGTGGTGCCTGGGATGGAGGGGTTGTCAAAGGAAGAGAGGTTGAAATCTCTCAAATTGTTTTCTCTCAAAAAAAGATGAGTTAGAGGGGATCTGATTGAGGTGTTTAAGATTGTAAAGGGAATTGATAGTGTTGATGCATCATCTTTTTTCATATTTAACAGTGACAATAGTAGAACTAGGGGACACAAATATAAATTTTGGCAGGGTAGGAGTCATCTTTAGCTTTTTTATTTTTCAGTTTTATTTTTCTAACATGGTGGTTGGCCTTTGGAATGGTGTAGAGGCAGTAAATTTAAGTGAGTTTAAGAGAAAGCTTGATAAGGGCTGGCTTTAATATTTTTTTATTTATTTATTAATATTTTTAGTTTAGAGGATGGACCAATAGGTCCCATGTTGTCCCAAAACATTATGTTATATTAGATGACATGTTATTACTACTACGAGACTCAGAATAACAAGACCAAAAGCTTGGATTAGAAGAAAAACTACATCTTACATGTTAAGAAAAATTAATATAATAATAACACAGAAACTTGTGTTTATCAACTAGATTAGAAATATATGACCAGTTCATATTCTAATATAACGTACTGTCTGAAAGTACATGTGATGTGTGTGAATACCCATACGTGTATATGCATGTAAGTATTGTAACACATGTTACCATCGGACCTGAATGTAGAGGCTACAATCCTTGACCTCGTTAAATAAATTATAAGGTCTTCCCACATCAAAAGCGATGTAGTAATCGTCCTTTTTACACGTGATCTTTAAAATATAGCACACGCCATATTCCATCTGATCCTCCTATACTGAAAAATGTTCATGCTTATTAAATACATACATTTTTGCTACAGAAGGGCCAACCAAGTCAAAACGGTACCAACAGGGGTTTGGAAGTCCACCCACTAACGACACCACAAATATGAACACAGTTAACATTTTCAACAGTAGTTTCTTAAGTTCGTCTACAAAGTAGAAAAATGCCTGACGTTAAGCTGAACACTCGTTTCTGAGTTCGTCTACAGAAAATACAAACATAAAATTTTGTCTAACTGTTAAACAATGGGTTGAAAGTCTACAGCAAAAATTTTTGTGGCATTAATAATGGTTCGAGCATTAAACCCAGCATAGAAACTTGGTTACAATACCGATAAAGGAGTCCAAAAACTGGGTTATTTTCCATAAGCTTACAGTAACCATGAAAGCAAAAGTGGGCTACACAATTGTATATAAAAACAAGTTTGCAATTCGTACCATGTAACTATGAACTCTCAATACACACGTAAATAAGCAATTCTGTGCAGACAATGATGACGTGAAAAACACCAATATAAAATATAGGTTGCATACATACAGATTTACATTAATACATACAACATTACAAGCTGATGTATATGTAAACAGAACTCGCGAAACAAGAGGCTGTCAGCGAAATACGGCAACACATTTAAAACAGCTGCTAGTTATTGTCGACCTAAGCAGAAATCTGCCCTAACAGGAAGAATGTTTTTGGTAAAATATCTATGGTAAAGTGTGTGCGTCATGTCGAATCTAGAAACAGACGCTCCAGTCAGTACACGCTTATAAATCTTTACGGAAAAGACGTACAACGTTTTTATGTTAAATTAAGAACTAAACTGGTCTTGAAACATGTCATAAAGAACTAGTATGGCTCAACGAGACAGTATTAAAAGAGCCAGTTATCTGAGAGAGAAAAAAATGCTTCGAGAAAATCTTTAAATGTAATAAAGAGGATTGTTTGTTTGTTTATTTTGTAATTAAGCACAAAGCTACACAATGGGCTATCTGTGCTCTGCCCACCACGGGTATCGAAACCCGGATTCTAGCGTTGTAAGTCTACACACATACCGCTGTGCTACTGGGGGGCAAATAATAAAGAGGAATCCCAAGTAAACTAGGTGTTTGTTTAATCCTGAACATCAAAGATCCAAGTACCTAAATTATGAAAATAATTACCAGGCTCGAATTGAAGTCCTGCATACATAACAGTGAAATAGAATAATATGCATTACAGTAATTAGTCGATTAATCATAAATCGTCAAGATATCTAAAATATAACAAAGTTGCAGAAAATGACCTGGATGATACGTTAATCCCCTTTTTCATTTAATGCGATTTTAAACTGACAAATTGTTAAGGTATGTTTTAAAACTAAATAATGTTGAGTTTTAAATACAAGAGAGCCATACAGCAGTTTAATTTCGCAGTGAACTACAACATACATAATTTATATAGCAAACAGATGTGTAAATGAATTTTTATTTTCTACCAAAAGCGTAAATAGAACAGTTGATTCATAAAAACCAGTGGAAATTTATAAACCCTTAAGTTGTTTTGTTGATAGAAACTGTTAAAACCTGAACCCTATGTTCGTACCCCAAACTCACA